TGGTAACCTGTGAGGGGTACTTGGACGGGTTGGCTGGTGGTGGTTGGGCGACGGGGTGGGGTGGTGGTGAGGAGGTTGCTCAGGAAAATTGAGGGCTGCTCTCATCCAAGGCTTAGCAGGTCACTTCAGAAAATAGACTGGATAAGTGTTTGTACATTTACTCCTGATGAAAACTCATTTCCATGTAAGAAGATGTTTTAATCTGTCTATGTTTCTCTTATGATGTGTTTTAAAACCAGGGTTAGATCTAGGCTGAAATTGGGTTTACTTATGCCTTCAACGGTCAAATCTAAAAGCAGACTGTCTCTTTATGAACGTTAATATGATAAAAAACAAAACATTAACCTTTGTTTTCAACCAGTGGAAATAAAACACTTTAATTAATTTGCACCTTACCAGAAGTTGTCAAATTTTTAATATGATTATTTAAAAAATGAGTTCATATAATGGGTGATTGGAATTGTAAACCATCTAAAACAATCAAAAAATAAATAAATAAAATAGAAAAACTGTGGACACAAGGGATAAAATATGAAGAGGAAAAAATAGAAAGTTGGATTAGGAGGGAATGCATAATGGATGCATGGGTACATAAACCCTGTATGAACTTTAAGTATTGTATTTTCTTTGTGTGGATCTATCAATGCTCTGTAGTCCAAATAGAATGCCAATTGAGAATAACACAAAATATTATACCAGTATAAGTTCTCCCACCTGAGTACTTTTAGCCCCTTTTTAAGTAAAGGTAGATACATTACCTACAGATTTATAGCAGGTATATCCTTATATGTCCTCCGTAGTGCAATAGAAAAGTACCATCATCTTTATATCGATGTGCATGATGTTAATATTGAAAAAAAGTGCCTATAATGCATAAAAGATAATTGCTTATCATGCCTGCCCTCCCTGCCAAAAATACAATTTCTCAATGCTTGTCTGTAAATGGTTTGGAGCATAGAGGAGTTTTAAGAGATGTTAACTTTGAAACCCCAGCTGTAGTATGAGTCAGATTTTTAAGGCATGCTTGAGGGGGGAAAAATATATATTTTTTAAAGTCTCTGCTGTTCCCTAATAAAATCTGATCCATTTTTTTGATCCAAATGCAGGAAGATATGAACCTTGATAGTTTTTTTGTTTTTTGCAATGAAACATTCATTTGGAACATTCCTTAAATTTATCACATATTTCATGTTTACATTATACCATAAAGCTCTATTTAAAATGTCTATAAACCAGAGAATGAATGAATGGATGGATGGATGGATGGATGGATGGATGGATGGATGGATGGATGGATGGATGGATGGATGGATGGATGGATGGATTTCTGTTCTGACTCTTGAAGGAGGCAGTCGCATTTTCCTGCTGCTCTGCAACTCCCTGCTCTGTCCCTGCTTTGTCGTGTCTTGTCTTTCTTAGCCCTCTCTTCATATGCCCAGAATTCAAAATATGGTTGGCTGGTCTCTGAATGCAATTGATGGATACTTGATGTATCTACAATTACAGAGGATGTCAGCAAGAGAAGACTTGAAGGCTGAAGGAACATTCCTGTGCAATACATATACACTCACCGGCCACTTTATTAGTTACCCCATGCTAGTAACAGGTTGGACCCCCTTTTGCCTTCAGAACTGCCTCAATTCTTCGTGGCATAGATTCAACAAGATGCTGGAAGCATTCCTCAGGGAGTTTGGTCCATATTGACATGATGGCATCACACAGTTGCAGATTTGTCTGCTGCAAATTGTAGCCTCAGTTTCCTGTTCTTAGCTGAAAGGAGTGGCACCCGGTGTGGTCTTCTGCTGCTGTAGCCCATCTGCCTCAAAGTTAGACGTACTGTGCGTTCAGAGATGCTCTTCTGCCCACCTTGGTTGTAACGGGTGGTTATTTGAGTCACTGTTGCCCTTCTATCAGCTCGAACCAGTCTGGCCATTCTCCTCTGACCTCTGGCATCAACAAGGCATTTCCGCCCACAGAACTGCCGCTCACTGGATGTTTTTTCTTTTTCGGACCATTCTCTGTAAACCCTAGAGATGGTTGTGCGTGAAAATCCCAGTAGATCAGCAATTTCTGAAATACTCAGACCAGCCCTTCTGGCACCAACAATCATGCCACGTTCAAAGTCACTCAAATCACCTTTCTTCCCCATACTGATGCTTGGTTTGAACTGCAGGAGATTGTCTTGACCATGTCTACATGCCTAAATGCACTGAGTTGCCGCCATGTGATTGGCTGCTTAGAAATTAAGTGTTAACGAGCAGTTGGACAGGTGTACCTAATAAAGTGGCCGGTGAGTGTATATTATATATAAATGCAGTACTATAGGGAAACGCATCACGTGGGCCCTTGGCATAAAAACGTGCCAACGGCGGCATTCTGTGGCACGCATGGCCTCAGTAAATTGTTCCCCCTGCCAGCACCCCCCTCTGGATCTTTCAAGATCCAGAACTTACTAGTCATGGCTGTGTAGGATATCTGATATAAAGCAGAATACACAGACAATCTAACATATTTAAATAAGTGGCTATGATAACAGGAATATTAAACAGACATTAATTTAATTGTTTATCCAGGTTAACTGACCATTTATAAGCAGCTTTACACTGTTTATAATTCTGACGATTTTTTCTGTGTTCCCTATCGTTCTTATCATGTCTTGCCATATTCAATCCTTTATCACTTCCATTCAGATCTATACATACGATCTAGGTTTCTTGGTTTAAGTATTTGTAACATCTGCCTCACTTGGCAGTTGCTATTGTATCCAATCTGCCTGCATTTGGGTCGAATGCCAATATAATATCATGGTATATCAGCCCGTAGCAAAAACGATTAACTAGGAACTGAAAGCTGAAATCAACGACGCCGCCTCCACAGCTGTATACAAAGCAATATAAAGTTGAAGAGAAGTGTTCAGTCATTTGACAAACAGCTTGTAATTTGTTAGTAACTATTTTGTGAGCATTTTAAAGACCCTGAAGTTGTGGTTTTACAGTAGATTTAGTTAAGACAGACATTTTACTCCATGTCACTTAAAATATCCAATAAACCGTTTCATGGGAGCTGAAAGCAACACCTTCCGAAAATGCAATAAATATAAAAATACCACTGTTGTCGTACAAGAAACGTTTTATATATTGACTTTCTTCTTTTTAAACCAGTGCTAAGACAGGTCTGTACATTTTCTTTTAAAGCATGTTCATTCAGAGCTTGAATGCCTAAAGTGAAGATAGATACAAAATTTGCTTGTACTGTTAACAGTAATAAACCTTTTCCCAAAGTGCACCACTTAGCCAAATAAACCGCTATTCTGATTTGCATCTACAGGAAGGACAAGCTTACCGCTACTTTGGGGCGACTTCATTCCCAGATCCGAGTTTCAACTTCAAAGGAAATTGATTGCAGCAGTTTTTGCTATTTTACTGGCAGTTAATCGGTTAACTGGTTCCCAAACACAATGTTTGCATTTGGGAACCAATTATCCAGTTTGACATCAAAATGTTTGAGAATTATGAAAAGAAAATCCCACTAACAGAAACCAACAAAATATGCTGACTTCTAACAACTTATCTTTTGATTCCCCAAGATATGTTCACACACGATCTGTAGCAAGCAGGTGTTCATTTTAGTGCAAACAGCAATACCTCCCTGCTTTGCTAATATACCGATGGAAGGGAGTCCATGGCAATCCTGTTTATCTCTGTATCCCACATGCCTCCAGTGGCTCTGACCTCCCTTAATGCACACATGCAGACACCACTGCTGACACACCACCTTCTTTTTCCAGCCACATCGATTACTGTCAGCCAATACCTGCACTTCCTTTACTCTGCATCATCAGGTTTCAGGAAGTGCTGATAAATGAATGGCACTTTCTGTTAAGACAGTCGGTCATGGTTAAATGACTCCAAAATCAAGACATCGTCCGACTTTTGTTACGTCTGTACGGAAATGAGTGAATCTTTGAAAACAAACACTGAATATATTGAACCAAGAGAGGAGCTAAGGAACAAAGTGGCACCATGTTACTGTGCAACTTCTCTGAAGCCAAAACAACCCACTGAGCTCAATATCAGACTTATTATGTCATATAAATAAAAGGAAGTAGTTTCTTAAGAAAGAATGTCAAGCTGTCTGGGATTAGCATATTTAGCTACAAATGTCAGCATGCAGGCCAAAGCAAGCTGAGTACATTTACATAATCCAAATTACATGTAGGGAGAGCAGGGATTTTGGGACCAGAGTGTAAAAGCCAGAGTTAAAGTTAAAGATTTAGATTTTCTAAATTACAGAAAACACTCTTTCTGTGCTTGCAACCTAAATGGAGATTATTCTATGTAAACTTTCATTACCTGTCTAAACTTCTTTAAATACATGTACCCCTATTTTGAAATATAAAACAGATGAGCTGGTGCGCAAAACTTTAATTTCCTTTTATTTTAATATGGATCTCAGAAAAATCTACAGTAGGCCTTGAAATCTGTGCGATTTTACATGGAGACAGAAACAGATTAAAGGCTAAATGGAGGCTGGAGCTGTCCGTCAAAATGGTCTGCATTCTCACCTTTTTGACTATACTTTACACGACGTTTCTATTCACTACAGCTAATCTAGGTCAGTAGATCCGGATATTCATTACCGATTCAGAAATTATTGGCAATTATATCAGTGAAACTATGTTAAAAAAACTATGTAATATTTGGTTATTTTTTATGGTGAATCACTACAATAGTAAATTAACTTTATGACTTTGCTCCAGTTTTGTATTTTTTTAAATGCCGGTGATCATGCCAACAGTCTGATATTAAAATGTCTTGATGGTCTTTTATTATTTATTGTTTTATTTTTAAATATTTCATATATTGTCTTTTATTCAGTAATCTATTTCTTTGTTTTGTTGTTTTGTGTGATTATTATTGCAGGTTATGTGTTTAGGAAATTGAAAAAAAAAAAAACAGCTTTAAAAACCACCTTTTGATCCAAAATAAAAAGCTTCCTACCTGTCCCCTACATGTGGGGGAGCTGGCGAAGGGCTGAGCGGTGACGCAGCTCCAGAACCTCTCGGTTTGTTAACTTTGGCATACAGCCTATCAAGGGGGTCATCGTCTGGGAGAACTCCAGCTTCATTAGCATGCTTCCCATGTGCTGGGAAGCTGGGGGGGCCCTGTGGTGAAGGTGTGCGTGCGTGAGCGTGCTGAACTGCACTGTAGACGGGCGACTGAGGCAGCGGCGGTGGCCCTGAACCCATCTCTCTGTCCCTGAAGGACTGTATTCTGGCATAGTTTGGGTCTGCATCATCATCCTCGAAATGTGGATATCCTGTGCCTCCGCCACCCGGCTGCTCTCTAGACAATTGTTCACGCAGCTCAGGATGCCCTGCTTCAATCCTTAAAGAGAAACAAAGGACCAATAAACAAAAAACAATAACTCCTTGTTATTAAGCTGCAGGGGGAAAAAATGCAAACTATAGTCATGATAGAAATGTTAACCAGATAAAAAAAAAAAAAACTTTTAATTTGCATTTTGCACTGTTGGATCTTAAAAAAAAGTTTCTACATAGACCTTAAAAATAACAAAAAAAACAGGAGACCAAAAGCTTTGAGTAAGCAATTTAGAAATTGAAAGTTATTTTAGCATTTCAAAAGATCCTCAGGGTCATGGAATAAAATATTTAAGCCTTAGACCAAGAAAGATCTCACCTGCGGTGAGCCAAATAATCCGAAAGGCGGTCCATCGAGAAACGGGACGATCTTGGTCCAAAATTAAGGCTGACTGCACCCCAATAACCATAAGAAAAGCTTAAAAAACAAGAATCATTTTCAAAGCGCCAAAAAGTTGTTCCTTTGCAACAAAGCACCAACATGGGATCATCAAAGCTGGCGAAAAATAAAAGTAACCTTGATGGTCCTGATGGCCTCCATTGTTAATGGCATGACAGAGAGATGCCACCTTAGTTGTTAGCTGTTTAATACGGTGTAGTGGCGGAGGTGCCATCATGATCTGGGGTTCTTAATATTTCTGAACATTTGTTCAGAAATGAACATTTAAGCATTGTGAGGGGCATCAAACAGCAGCTAGTTACAGGTGCTGGTCATAAAATTAGAATATCATGAAAAAGTAGATTGATTTCAGTAATTCCATTTAAAAAGTGAAACTTGTATATTATATTCATACATTACATACAAACTCATATATTTCAGATGTTTATTTTGTTTAATTTTGATGATTACAAATGACAACAAATGAAAATCTCAAATTCATCATATCAGAAAATTAGAATATTGTGAAAAGGTTCAAAATTGATGGCCCCTGGTGCCACACTCTAATCAGCTAATTAACTCAAACCACCTGCAAAAGCCTTTAAATGGTCTTTCAGTCTAGTTCTATAGGCTACACAATCATGGGGAAGACTGCTGACTTGACAGTTGTCCAAAAGACGACCATCGACACCTTGCACAAGGAGGGCAAGACACAAAAGGTCATCGCTAAAGAGGCTGGCTGTTCACAGAGCTCAGTGTCCAAGCACATTAATAGAGAGGCGAAGGGAAGGAAAAGATGTGGTCGAAAAAAGTGTACAAGCAAGAGAGATAACCGCACCCTGGAGAGGATTGTGAAACAAAACCCATTCAAAAATGTGGGGGAGATTCACAAAGAGTGGACTGCAGCTGGAGTGAGTGCTTCAAGAACCACCACACACAGACGTATGAAAGACATGGGTTTCTGCTGTCGCATTCCTTGTGTCAAGCCACTCTTGAACCACAGACAGCGTCAGAAGCGTCTAAAGAGAAACAGGACTGGACTGCTGGTGAGTGGTCCAAAGTCATGTTCTCTGATGAAAGTAAATTTTGCATTTCCTTTGGAAATCAAGGTCCCAGAGTCTGGAGGAAAAGAAGAGAGGCACTTCATCCACGTTGCTTGAAGTCCAGTGTAAAGTTTCCACAGTCAGTGATGGTTTGGGGTGCCATGTCATCTGCTGGTGTTGGTCCATTGTGTTTTCTGAGGTCCAGGGTCAACGCAGCCACATACCAGGAAGTTTTAGAGCACTTCATGCTTCCTGCAGCTGACCAACTTTTTGGAGATGCAGATTTCATTTTCCAACAGGACTTGGCACCTGCACACAGTGCCAAAGCTACCAGTACCTGGTTGAAGGACCATGGTATCCCTGTTCTTAATTGGCCAGCAAACTCTCCTGACCTTAACCCCATAGAAAATCTATGGGGTATTGTGAAGAAGAAGATGCAATACACCAGACCCAACAATTCAGAAGAGCTAAAAGCCACTATTAGAGCAACCTGGGCTATCATAACACCTGAGCAGTGCCACAGACTGATCGACTCCATGCCACGCCGCATTGCTGCAGTAATACAGGCCAAAGGAGGCCCAACTAAATACTGAGTGCTGTACATGCTCATACTTTTCATGTTCATACTTTTCAGTTGGCCAACATTTCTATAAATCCTTTGTTTTTATTGGTCTTCAGTAATATTCTAATTTTCTGATATGATGAATTTGAGATTTTCATTTGTTGTCATTTGTAATCATCAAAATTAAACAAAATAAACATCTGAAATATATGAGTTTGTATGTAATGTATGAATATAATATACAAGTTTCACTTTTTAAATGGAATTACTGAAATCAATCTACTTTTTCATGATATTCTAATTTTATGACCAGCACCTGTATGTGCAGAAGTTGCAGCAGATGTCTGCTGTGTGGTTAAGATTCAAATCTGCCGTCGGACCAAGGCTTTTTTCCACGTCAACATGATTAATTTAGACCATCATGCACGTTACCCTGATCTGTATCCAACTGAGAACATTACTTTTCATTTTTTGGTTGTTATTTTTTTTAAAATGGGGGTGTTGCAGTGAATCAAGTTTACTAAAATGAGCATCAGTCTCAGACTGCAGATGTCCTTCATGAAGCACTTAGAGCAATATTCCAAAATTAAAACCTTTTTAAGATCCAAAGTTGCAAAATGATAACTTGTGCAATTTTTGATCTGGTCTTAAGACTTTGATCAAGTGTCTACAGAAAACATAAGCCCCTGTCACACCTTGATGATCTAGACCAGCAAAAATGCTGGCATAAGTTATGAGCACGATGCATAAGCCGATGCATGCTGAATCACTCTGAAACACGCTGGTAAACGTATGCCAGCATATGCTCATACATGGGCCATAAGTTACAGGTAAGTTATTTGATTGTTGACCCACATTAAGTGAAAGTTACTCATATGTCTAGCTTATCCAAAACCTGTGAGTAACTTATGCATAACCTATCAAGACACTCAGGACACTGGCTTGTGGCATTTCATGGAAATTACGCTGCCGTGCGTTATGCATAAGTTGTTGGACTCGTTATAAATACTCTATGTATACGCCCAAAATAAAAAAAATAAATAGAAAGTCCAGCATATGCCAGTGCTTTAGAAGATTCTGGGAAATCAGGCTGGTTAAATCGACAAGTTGTTACAAGGGCTTAACAAACAAGAGCTATGACAGAAGAATATTTCTATTTAAAATCTGCAGAAGTAAAGCAAGTAGACTGTTAGCAAAGCGTTATGCAACAAGCTTGCAAATCTTTTTTCCAGAGAAAGCTTCTGACCTCTCTCTGTCTTCTTTCAACCTCTCCAGCTCCAGGTCGCTCAGAATGTCTGATTTCTGTCGCTGCAAAGCCGCCTTTGCCTCCTTCTTCTCCTCCTTTTTCTTCCCAAACCTGGACATAAACAAACACAGATAAAAGTATGAAGAAAAAAAACATATAAAACAATAAAATAGAAACTTCTTTTTGAAGGTTTATGAGACATATATTTAAAAAAGTAGACAACACAATGAATAACATCATCAGGAAGTTTTCACCTTTCTGACCCTTAAATCTTTATAGACCGTATGATCCTGATAAACTTGTATCTTGGTGTTCCGATCTCTTAAGATTTCTCCATTTTCTAATTTAGAAGTTCTCATGTAAAACATGTGTTAATACTCTCCCTAAATGCAGCTGAAAATAGCAGAAGCATATTAAACTTTGCAGCGCAGCTACACAGCGGGTGTACGGTGGTGAATTGAGCCAGTCAAACCTGCTAAATAGTTAATATGTCCAACACGCCAACTGTGACCTTATAACACTGCTAATGTTTTATTTATCAAGTGAATTTATTGATGAATTATCCCTCTGTCTACATTACCGCTATGTAATACTGTGGACATTTTTGAAGTATCACTGCTCCAGCTTATGTTTTATTTAAAAGCAAATCCGGTGCTACATTACACCGAGGCTGGCTTGTTGTTTTCGGTTTAATAAAAACAAAAGTGCACTTTGAAGACTGGGGTAATAGGTTTCTTTGAAATGCCTAATGTGGACTGGGGGGTAAAGCCTATTTACCACCCATGGAGGAGTGGCTCAATGGGCAATGAAGGGCTCCAATCATCTGTGTGTATTAACAGCATGTGTGTGTATTTGCCACACAGGGGACAGGCCTTACTTTAATTACAGCTACCTACAGAGGCTTACCCTTTCTTTCAAATCTCTCCTCCCTGCACTTATCCCTCCTTTCACCGTCATTCCTTGTTCACATTTTCCCCTTCTTTATAGAACTGTTTCTCTTCTCTGACTTCGGATTCTTTCCATCTCTAGATTAACTCACTTTCACCACACCTTCCCATTTTTATCGAGTTTTCCTCTCTCACGCTTTACCCTGACCTTCTCTTGGTCTGATACCTATCCTTACTGTAAATCCTTTCCTGCCTACTCTGCAAAAGTTTAAAAACAATAATGCAATATTCCTACTGCAGCAGCTACACACATCACTATTGTTTGGGATTGATAGCACTGAGCCTGCTGCTGTAGCAGCATAAAATAAAACATCACTGTTTTTATTTTTTAAAGAGACTTGAAAATCCCACCAGTTTGGTCACATTATACAGCATCCTCTAGGATAAGGTTAATGAGTTAGAGAAGGAGTACTTGTCTCTCCTGTGTAGTTAGTAAGAAGCTTGTTCTTTGACCTTTAACCTTGCAGTGAATTACAAAAAAGAAATACAATCGGAGACTCCTGTGCCATACAAGTCCCATATCTGCTGTCGGGCTTTTCTGACCTTTTGTCTGCTTAATTTGTAGCAGTTTGTACCCTGCACTCACCCAAAAACACATCTTATATATGAGGTTGCCCATTATAAAATGTCTTATTTCTTTTGGTAATCGTGTTATTTGATTGTCTTAAACAAAAGGAAATACTCAGATCTCTCATAATTTAGATTAGATAATTTATTTTCCGATGCTACATGGATAACTGGTTTTAGTGGTTTCCATCCCTTCCTTAACCACATCCATACAAAACCCAGCTCTAAGCAAGCTGACTGCCCCACAAACCTTTAAAGAACTGGTGCCTCTTTGGAGTGCAGTGAACTCCAGCAAAATACCAAAATACTTAGCCACCAGTGCACCAAGTACAGTGGTTATGTTTTCTCAGTACTACTATTTTACTCAAAGTAGTTGGTCCCTCTACAGTAAACTTGATACATAATATCACTCTTTCAATCCAAAATTGAGCAAAAAAGCTACATTTTCAGGAAAATCCTTTGTATTATATAAGACTCCCTTAGCCATTTTACCTGTGTACGCATCCAAGAAGTGATATGTTTACATAAAATTTTAAAGCAGGAAATAACATGATAGGGTCTGGGCCATGTACATGATGAACAACTTTCTAGAGGGACAGACACTTCTCAGGGCCTTCAGATTAGCTGAAGGACACTGCATAGATAATTTGATTGATGTCCAAACAGCTCTTTCCAAGCTTTACATCACAAACAACAACAATAAACATCTGATGCAGCGTGTTTGCTGCCCCTGAGCTAAGGACCAGTGGAGACGCAATGTCTAATGTTTTCATTTGACTGGAAGAGTCTGGATTTGGCAGTTGTTATGTGATCAGTACCATACCTTAAGGCATTGTGTCATATGAATAGTGTGATGGTGTTAAGGTTTGGGGTAATCTTCCAAGAGTCGGACTCTGTCTCTTTGCTCCAGTGAAAGGAACTCTTGTTTGCCTTTCCAGTCATAAGGACAAAGGGAAGGTTGACATCCAATTAAGCCCTGGGGATTCACCAACAAATTAATCAATTCAGGATAAATGCTGTTCTATTAACCCACGGTTGGCTGCAGCAGATGGTACTCTTACTAAGCCTGGTTCTGCAGTTAGTTTCTTTCTGTCCACTGTTTGCTTAGTTTAAACGATTGCAGCAGAAACAACAACCCACTGCTGGGCCTCTTTGGAGGACTGCTTAACAACATGTATTATACATTTAATGTAAATGTATTCAATTATATAATAATTTCAATTTAAATCTGATTATATGACAGGATCATATAGTAATATATTGGATTGATTTGATTATGGTCTAAAGTAGATTCCATTTGAGCAGGGGAGGGTTTAGTATCCTATATTTTGGCTGGTTTAGCCTCAGATAAAATGCATTTAAGGTTTCCCTACTCCAGCAAAGGTGGCTTTTATTGATAGCTGATTAACAGGCTTTTCTGGACTGAAATAATCAGAATAAGCTGTGCTAAAGTAGAGAAACCTCTAAAACCTGCAGTACAGCGGTCCTCAAGAACCAATGCTGAGCTTGGTTCTTAAGACCATTTAAACATCACACTAACACGCTTCCTCACCTCCCACTGCAGCTTCTCACTACATAATCTGTCCCGGACATACAATCAGTCCAGTACATGCGCGAATAGATATACATCCGGGTGTCAGTAAATAAAATGTAACCATGGTACTAAAATGACGTATTTCTATCTTTACCTCACTAAAGAATTCTAATAAATGCAGGTCTTTTTAAGAAAATAAAATCGAGGGTGACCCGGATGTATATCTGGATGCACATGCGCAAATGAGCTGATGGGGCATTCAGCAGGATGGATCGCGCTTCCAGGACTTATCGGGTAGTGACACATCTCTCAAGGCAGGAATTGCACAAACAAAAATGGCGGCGGCCAAAACATTCAGGTACTTATCTGCCTGGATAGTGTCCTACACCCAAATTTCAATGAGAGCCTCGGTCTCAGCATCATCCCAGGTCGCACCACGTTCTTTTGATGTAATTTATTGTTAATAGCCTGAGAAGAAGTTCCTGTTGTGAACAGGTGAAGATCTGGCAATTGCAAAGCCGGACATGGCGGAAAAAACCTGCAGAATGAGTCAGCTGACTGTAAATAGGAGATGAAACGGTCTGGTCATGCGCTCTTTGTTATCAGAGAACCGAGCCACAACTGTACCATGCCGAACCCTACTGTTGAACTAGTACTAGATTCAGAGCGGTTCGGTTGCGTCTGGCACACTCCAGTTCAGTTGCATTCCATTTACACTCAACAGTTTCTTGGTTACTGTGTTCGGACCATTCTTGACACTGTTTTAAAAGGGTAGTGTATATGGGGAATTACACTTCCTCCCTCCCTCCCTCCCTCCCTCCCTCCCTCCCTCCCTCCCTCCCTCCCTCCCTCCCTCCCTCCCTCCCTCCCTCCCTCCCTCCCTCCCTCCCTCCCTCCATCCATCCATCCATCCATCCATCCATCCATCCATCCATCCCAGTCCTGTTTCTTACTATGGTACCTGATGCCACCAGCAGCGCGGCTTTCAGGTCAACGACAGGGGGTTTCCCATTGTGAACAGGGTCCTACTGCCCCAGGATTTACATGACCAATACACTATTTTATTGGGAGGGGGTTAGAAATGATTAGACAATGTTGGAGTTAAATGGTGTTGGGGGGGATGGGCATGCATAGATGTAAAATGGTTGGAGTTGATGGGTAAAGGGAATCTGTGTCACAAAAATGTAATGAATTAAACTGAGTGGAACTGAAAGCCATAAATTATGGTAACTCAGTAGTATGGCTGATGACAGAAAATGGGAAATACTAAAACCTGTTCAACTACCACATAAGCTACAGACTCTTTGCTGCAGTAATATCTAAACTGGTCTAATAAATGGTCAGTTTCTGCTGAGGGCGGCAGATGCTACAGCCAGAATTTGCCACTAAAAGAATTAATCCACAAGCCTTTCCTGTCTAATGTCAACAATTTGGGATAGTGGTGGAGGTGGTTAGCTGATGTACAGAGTGCTTTCTTGGCATGTATGGATCAATCATCATTCATATACTGCATCTAATCTGATTATGGTTGCTGACCATGACTATCTTCTTGTGATAACCATTCACTGAATTTTTGTGAATAAATGCACATAAAGTGTTAGAGCAGCGTTTTTGTGTGGCTGATTTTTTCAGTACGTAAAGATTTTCATTGTCCTGGAAGAAAAAAAAACTTTCCTGAGTCTTTCTTACCTTCTGCACTTTCTATAATCTGTAGTATTCACTACAGAAAGGTATAATTCTCATCATCTATGCCTATCTGAATCATTTCAAGCTGTTAAAGCGGCCTGACAGCTGCTCCATTTAAACATTCTTTCATTTCAAATGTCTTTTGTCCAACAACAACCATTAGTTAAATCACATAGAAATAGCTAGACTCAACCACTGCACACTTGTATATAAAAAGAGTGACAGAATAATTCACCTGTGGATGTTTTTCTTTCTTTTTTTTGTGCCTCTTAGTGTAAAGGGCAGATTCAAAGTAAGGACAGAAAGGAGGGGAAGTGGTGATACAGAAGTGAAAAGCTGTTGGAAATGACTAATAGACAGTTCTAATGCAAAAAGGT